GTATTTGTGTACTTTTGTGTATGTATAATCTATTTATAAAAGAACTTTCAATATTCATCATGTTCAGTAGAGTAACTTTATCAAATACTAACGGCAATTATTTTTGCACTCCACTGTATATGAATAGGAGAAACTTAAAGTTTTCAAGAATTGAATTTGTCATGTTTCTATTTATTTTTATACTCACAACAGACCATCCAGCATTTAACATTTTCGTTGTATTACGTCCTGTACCACATCCTAATTCACAACAAATTTGTGTCGTACTATGTTGATTAACAGAATTAAGAAGAGGCCGAGCTATTTCGTCGAATGCAGCATCATCAAGTAATTGTAGAATATTTCCATCAGAATCATATGTATTTGACCAAGCATCATAACATTCGACAGTAGATATGATTGTCTTTGTATTCTGAGTTGACGTCATTTGCTTTTTCTTTCTATGATATTAACACTGATAAATACGAAAATTATAATGCTTAGAATGCGATAGAAATAAGTGAATGAATGAAAAAGCCTATTGCATGCATGGAGATTATCGACATGTGTGATTTTATTCGTTCTGTAGCATCAAATCAGTATAAAGAAGTTTTTTTTTTCGAAGCTACAATTATTCTATGTATGTTAACCATGAAATTCAACATGAACTAGATGACATTCGAGTTTCATTCGACTGCAAAATGCAATGTGAAGCTACGAGTGTTGATTATCGAAAACATCGATATCTCATTACAAAAATGAATAATCGTTTTTTTTATATGAATCATCATAAATCGCTTTGTTTTGCCTAACGATATTAGCGTTTTACGACAATTTTGCTTTCTGTCGCGATAAATTGGAAAATATAGATTTCGTTCAATCAGCTGATCGACGTCTGAAAAGATTTGGAAAGTAGTCATCACAAAATTCATTCCTAAGAGAACTCTATTACCACGTAACAGTATGTCTATAATGAAGTCTATGATTGATTACTGAATTCTCTTTTTTATTCATTATCTATCATAAACTGTATTATCTCTCAGCAAAGAGAGTGGCAGCAAACTTTTGTTACTGTCTTCGTTTTAATTATTTCGAAGCTTGAAAGAAGCTATGTAAGTTCATAAAGTTTAATTGACTTTTTTAGACTCATATTAGTAATGAATCTTATCAATGAATAACCATGAAAAATTTTCAACTTTT